CTCAAAATCTACTCAAACTAGCAATAATGTCTCTCTTTCTCTCTCTCTATATATATATATAACGTATATGTGTCTCTCTTTTACTACTCCGTAAATCTCCTGCCTTTCATTTTCGCGTCTTTGCCTCAGTTGGCTCCTCCTCCTTCATTCCGTAAAATGTGCAGCCTGAAGAGCAGAATCAGCAGATTTACACATTTTTCTCCGTTTTGTTTTATGACAAAAACCGACAAAGTTATTAGAATAAATGCAACGTCTGTCAAATCTCATCTTGCATTCTTTTACGAACGTGTCAATATATGCGTACATTTTTTCATATAAAGTTTAAATTATCATATCTCCGTTCTTACTTGGTCTATCAACACAAAACAAAAAGTAAAATAGAGTTTCAAGTCAGCACTTTCGACAGAAGTGGACGGCAGCACTCAACGTGACTTTGTTTTTATGCTTCGACGTCTTAAACTGGACATGTAACTTGATCACGCCGGCGTGATCGGCGACCCCGAAGTGTTAAAGTTTGATTCGTTGCTATGGCAACATTATCTTAGATATTAAATAATGCTTTCACAGGTCTTTATCTGGCGTGTGTTTACATTATACACATGAAGTTTGAAGCAAATTGGGTAAAAGTAAGAGTGTGATTTCAAAGCATTTTGAAAGTGAAACACTTCCTGCTGCCAGTTGGTGGCGCTATATATTTGACTCACAATAGTCGCATCCATGTGATCGGCCTCTTACAAAGAACACACTGCTGAAGTTTCATCAAGATCAGTTAATGTATGCAGAAGTTATAACACACTTCCTGTTTCATGTTTCTCGCCATAATTTTGTTTCCTCGCCACGGCCAAACCGTTCGAGTTTGAGATATCAAAAATCCCCTCGCAAACTTTCATCCTTCATCGTCTTGACTTCATGCTGACCGAGTTTCAGTGAATTTGGATCAGAGCTCTAGGAGGAGTATTTCATATTCCATTGCAAGCGTTTTACAAACAACACTCAATAGCCGACTTCCTGTTGGGCTGGGGTAAAAAGTAAGAGTATGAAGTATATATGAAACGATGAGATCTACATGTGTACCGAGTTTCATATATTATTGCATGCAAGCGTGTTTGATTTATGGACCAAGTTTCAGGGGGCGCTGTCGAGCCCCCCTGCCACGCCCGGGTACCATCTTCAGCCCGACCCTAGTGGCCGCAGGTTCTGACCCGTATGCAAAGTTTCAAGAGTTTTTGAGCATGTCAAGGGCCCCAAAAGTGCCCGAATAGTCGGTAGAAAAATAAAAGAGAAAAAAAAAAAGAAAAATAATCCCAAGGAAAACAATAGGGCTCTGCGCCCTTTCAGGGCTTGGGCCCTAATAATCCTAAGGAAAACAATAGGGCCTTCGCCCTTTCAGGGCTTGGGCCCTAATAAACAGAGCAATTCCAAGAGGGTCCTCTCACCATCGGTGCTCGGGCTCTAAAAGTTATAATTTTTTTATTAACTATTTTGAAATATTTTTATGAAATAAAATATTATTATGAAATATTTTCCTTATAGTGCTAAATACTGTACATTGCTACAGAACCTTTTTTTATTCCCTGCCTGAAACCCTCTGTTTTAGTTCCTGTCCAAAAAACCCAGTGTACTCCCATTGGTCTCTTATCCAATCTTTTAGACTTGGAGTATTTGCTCACAGGTGTGAGCCTTGAAATATCCCTTTCCAACAGCAACTTACAGTCTTGAATAATCGTATCTCTTTTGGCATGACAAGAGTCTAAATGAGTTCATCCGTCAAATCTTTATTAACCGACAGCAGCTTTTATATCTGGGTGGAGAGCAGAGCATTTGATTTGAGTCACACGCAGAATGCAATACTGACTGGAACAGCCTCCGTGGAGAACAGTGGCTACACCTAAAATCATTAGATGACACAGCTCATATCTCCATCGCCGATAAGTTACTGAAACCACACATGGAAAAAACCCCAATACACGGTAGAAACGCAATTGTGCAGCGCAGAGTGACTCTCGCCCTGTATGATGTGACAAACAACTGTAGTCTGGTTCTGTTCACATAGTTTTTTTTCAAAGAATGTGATAGTGGTTACTGAAAATTTACGGATATGGCTTTGGTTATACAATGTTGTCATCACTCCCTTGAAAAATTGTATTTCTGTCATGACAACTCTCGGGAGATTGGTTTGGTACTAGAGATTCATTGGCATGGTAATGGATATGGCAATGTTAATGTATTTGATCTTGAGATCTGCTACGCTGTTGTTGCTGAGCAAGTACCAAGACTTGCTTCTGCGAATGCCTTTACAGACATTGCTGTAAGACTACATGCTGTAAGACATGCTGCTGTACATGTAACATAAATGAATTAACACTGTGGCAGAAATATACAAGTGGAGCGTTTCTGAAAGCATAGTAAGACTCTAGTCAGACTGTAACAGCAAACAATGGCAAGTATTTGAATGCTTGGACAGCAAGCTCATTGACCTCTGATCCAACAGCAATCAAACAGCTGTGCTACGTTGATAAGTTCTAGACCTATCAGCCTGTACCATTCAGAGTTTCATGCCAGAACTATGTAATGTGTGTGAACATAACCATATTAAGGACTTGGATAAGGGATTGTACTGTGTACAGTACTGTGTTCTGTTTCTGTGTGAATTTGGCAATATTTCAAAGGTCCTTACAGCCTACAACAGGAAAATAACCTAAATCCACAATGACACTGACCAGGCAAACAATAAATAGTTTTTCCAACTATATTACCTTTTATTAATTATTGAAAGCACTCTATTTCTATCACTCGCCCACAAATGCACACACACACACACACACACACACAGAAACATTATTGCGAACAGGAACTTGTCAGTGCTGGCCTGCGACTTTATTAATAAAATACTTTTTACAAATGAAAAGCTCAATGACCTTTTTCAGTAGAAACATAGTACACTTTTGTTTTCCTTTTCATTTTTACCCTGCATGAATTTTATAGTGTTGAATTTTGGTTTCTGTTGGCTGGTAGGCGAGTTGGGTGTGGAGGCAGAGACATTGTCCTTGCGCAGTGGCTTTAAGTGTGTAACTGCTGATAACAGTGGAGAACTTGCTTGTTTGACAGGGGAGGTGATAGGCCATGAAAATATTTGATCTGCCTCTCACATGATCAAGGCTGACGTGGTTTCTTTGAAAGCGCAGCATTTTGTCAATTAGTTGATTATATGTGGCCTTGTAGTGAAATGTATAGTGGCCTTGTAGAACTAAATGTATAGTTCTTTCAAGTGATCTCTCTGGGGTTACCCTAAAAACATACATGATCTACGCAACAACCGGTAGCTTGAAGTGTTTTGAATGCTTTGATGTTAGGCATAAACTGCACCCTTGCCTGCATAAAGGCATTGCTTTTAGGATTAGAGATTAGCGCTACATCTAAACTTGAACCTACTTCTGAGGTAAGAATGTCAGAAGTCTGTGTATATGCATCTGTGAATATTCAATTAGAAAATGAGGGGAAAACAACAATGACAGTTTCTGGCTTTAGGAAAAAATTGATGTGTATGGAATGCATTCTGTTCCAAGTATAAGTGGTAATTCACCGGGTGGTTTAAGTGGAAAGGGTGTGGTGAAAAAGGAGCAGTTGGAGTTGATCTGCCAACAAAGTAAGAGTGTCATGGATGTAGCATTGTCAGATGAGATGCCATCTCTACATGATATGGATTTGTGTTCACAGGGAGATTGTCTGTCTAGTGTTGATATGAACTAAAGAGCTCTCACAAAATGTTGGAAGAGATTAATGCTTTTCTAGACATTGAATTCTATTTGGGAATCAAGTTAATGTGCCCCCCACGACTGCATACAGTTTTTATATATTTAAAAGCTACATCGATAATGGCAGCTTGAGGCTGTCTGCACTGGAAAAAAGCACATTTAAAAAAAAACATTTGTTCATTAGCAAACAGGGCATCAGTTTACTGGCGACAGTTCATCCAGTGTAGACAAAATTGCTATAGTGCGTTCTATTGGCTTCTGATGCATCTTGTCGCACTTCTTACATCCGGTGTAACATAGCACATTCTAAAGAGATATCCAAATGAGGACTGAGGTACTGCCAGAAATGCCGCCCACAATTAAAAGCACAGCAGGCTTGTTTGAAATATTGTGAATACGATTTTTTTGACACATTGCTTTCTGACGCAACTAGTCCCTCCCTTTACCTCTGTAGATAAAATGCAGACGCTACAAAAATGTCTTTATTATTAATTAAGACCAGACATTTTTAAGACCAACTAGTTTGTTGAGGGTTGATTTGTGAAGGACTACACGCCTGTGCAAATATACTGTATATTAAAACGCGAATACCTATGGACTGAACATGTGATGCGCATGTGCGTGCCGTCTGCGTTTTCACGGGTTTGCGTTTTTGAGGTTTGTGCAGAGATAACGGATAATCGTTTGCACCTTCAAACCTATTTCAGAGAGTGCATTCTCGAGAGACCAGGATGGGCGGATGGGCGTCCAGAGCGCGTTAAGAGTTTTTCTGTTAGAACAGTGTCGTGTTAGCGGCTCCTAATTTAATAACTAATGATCTTTGCAACGGAAGTAATTTCGGTAATTCGGTAACAACGGTAATTTCTATTATAACTGTAAAGCTGCAATGAAACAATCCATACTGTTAAAAGCGGTTTATAAATGAAGGTGACTTGACTTCAGAGAATCTTATCCATCTGTGTGGAAGCAGAAAAATGTCTTGCTAAGAACAAACAAGGACATGCAACAAGGCAAACCTACTAAGTTGTCAGATCAAAGCTGTATAAATGTTTATTCTCTAATTCTCGAATAATAATTTTATTTCATGGAAGGTCCCAGAGGAGAGAGGAAACTCTTGTTTAAGTGAGCTTTTTTTTTTTATAAAAATTGCACTGAACCGATTATTTTATCTGTGATTTCAGGGGATGTATTAAGCCTCGTTCACTAGACTTCTATGATATCTTAGCATGGTCTGATCTCAGATCCATCGTTGAGAAACTTTAGAGGTATGGCCCACTCATGTCCTAGAGAAGCAGGCTCATCAGCATTCTCAGAGGGCTGTTGATAATTTAATTTGCATGAGAGGATATAAGGTCTTATCTCAGAGTGACTCAGTTACATGCTTCTCTAGAAAATAGACTATCTTGATGTCACACTGTGTTCAAATTGAAATGTGTGGCTGTTTTCATCAGTTGGTTTAATTTTTAAATAGGTGGTGTCTGATGCTGCAGGACAAGGCGTCACCATAACAGGGGACAAAGCCTTCAACAACTGGAACTGGCCCAATGCAGTCATCTTTGCAGCTACAATTATCACAACTATAGGTAAGGATCTGGTCCATTGAAGCAGTATCTTGGAGAAATAAAAATTAAAAAAAAAAAAAAAAAAAAAAAAAACATGCAGTGAATTTATTTATGCTACTGTCTTTAACACAAAAATAACTTATAATAATGAAGAGTTATTATTATTATTTCCCATAATTTAGAGCCATTCTGGTATGTCCTCCTTACAAACAAGGGTACTGTTTTTTGATTGTTTGCGTAATACTAAAGGAATGGCATTCACAATAAACTGCAATCCATTTTCACCCCCCAAAAATTTATTTCTGCAGGTTATGGAAATATTGCGCCAAAAACGCCTCCAGGGAGGGTTTTCTGTATATTTTATGGTCTTTTTGGAGTGCCGCTGTGTTTCACCTGGATCAGTGAGCTTGGAAAGTTTTTTGGTGGAAGAGCTAAACACCTTGGGAAATATCTTACTAAGAAAGGAGTAACATTGGTAAGGAGCAAACACACACTGTATTGTATTGTAAAAATGATTATCACTATAATAAATAACTAACAAAAATTGCTAGAACTTCTAACTGCATTTTGAAAATCTATTTTTGTGTTATAAGGTTGTTGTTTTTGTTGTTGTTTTTTTGGCTTCTCAAAGCGGAAAACACAGTTTACCTGCACAGCTGTCTTTCTGTTATGGGGTGTGCTGGTCCATTTGCTGATTCCTCCATTTGTATTCATGTCTCAAGAAGGCTGGACCTATATCGAGGGCTTGTATTTTTCTTTTGTCACTTTGACAACTATTGGTTTCGGTGATCTTGTAGCAGGTGGGTGTCTTGGTTGTTAAAACTCCTTGTTATCATAGATCATTTGAGAAAATTAATAGTGACTTAAGTTGGCTCTATCTATCTATCTATCTATCTATCTATCTATCTATCTATCTATCCATCCATCCATCCATCCATCCATCCATCCATCCATCCATCCATCCATCCATCCATCCATCCATCCATCTATCTATCGTAGTGAGATCCAGTTGTAGTTGTAATTATATATTTATACATGCATGCATACATACATAATAAAATATAAATCAGGGATGGCAACTTCTGAAAGGATCACTAGTTTTTATCAGGGTTGGAGATAAATTCAGAACAGTGGCCATTGAGGACAGAAGTTGCCTATCCCTGATTTATATACTTTAATGTAATTTTAAATAGCCTACATAATCTCATAATATAATTGTTGTGTAAATAGATTTATGCCACCTTTGAGCAAGTCAGTATGTCATATGCAGCTTCTATGCCACCTTGGTAATGTAAAGATGGCTTTTGTTGACGCTGATCAAAATTTAATAGGTAAAAGACTATAGTATTCTGATTGATTTGTATTAAATGTATTGTAGGTAAGAATTTTATAAAAAAACTTTTTTAAACTTTAATTTCTATATATATATTGTAACGGTGGCTTTACCAAACCAGTATGGGTTTTCAATTAACCTAGGTTGGTTTAAAATTATTCGGGCGCCAGACAAGATCAACTTGTCACAAAAAAACAAAATATATATATATATATATATATATATATATATATATATATATATGCTGGAGAGCTCTAACCACTGTTGCATACAAAAAAATAATAATAATAATAAACCGATGCCCACAATTCAATTTTCACAGAGTTTGTATTATTATTTTTTTTCCACATGACAAAACCAATGGAACAATTTTAAGTTCACATTCAGATTTTCACTCAAAGAGAAGTCAAAGTCATTGAATCACAAGTGTCCACAATTCCTCAGTCTTTCATGTTCCACTTAATCAACAACAACAAAAAAATGCAATAAACAATACAAAGAAAAAAAATAAACAAATACAGTTAGGTATTTGGTGTATGCGCGTGCGTTTTCGGCGCGTGTATGTGTGTGCGTGCGTACAATTTCCACGTGAAACAGTCTGTGCAATGGCCGGGAATCTCTGGCCGGGACAATGAGGGTTTTTCATGAAGTTAAAAAGTATGGAGAAGAGTTCGAAGGCTTTGGCGTGAGGTTAAAAGCGATGGGCAACAAGAACAGTAAGTTACCTGAAGCAGGCGAATCAAACTGGCTTATGTGGCTCCAGGCAACGCAACACCCCCGGCAGAGCTTTATCTCTCCGTCATTTCGGCAATCGCACCCAGCAGCGTACACACAAAATTTCCAGCAGAGTCCTTCAGGTAACTCGGATCTCCCGTCACTGAAGCAGGCGAATCAAACTGGCTTATGTGGCTCCAAGCAACGCAACACCCCCGGCAAAGCTTTATCTCTCCGTCACTTCGGCAATCGCACCCATCAGCGTACACACAGAATTTCCATATATATATATATATATATATATATATATATATATATATATATATCAATGCATAATAAATCTGATAAAAAGATTCTAAAAATAGAGTGACTCTAGACCGTTTAATCTGCACTAAACACAGCACATTATTTCCAACCGGGACGAAACAAAGGATTGGCTTAGGCGACTGTCACTCTCTCGCAACCATGGCAACCACCCTTTTGCCACACAGGACCTGCCCACTTGCGCGTATCCAGATCCTACCTGTTCACATGCCCTTGTTTGAGCTTGAAGATGCAAAACTCGACACAGGTCCTCTTGTCCAAGAAGTGCTCCTTGCCCTGCACTTCGACCACCCCGTCCTCGGCCTCTTCTTCCTCGGACCCTAGTTGCACGGCCTCTTGCACGACCTCCTCTGCTTCGCCCTCGACCCGGATCTGTCCTTGAGCTGACGATGCGGTAACATGACATCATGACTTTTGCGTAAACATACACGGCACTTTCAAGTCAAGTGGTGGGTTATCTATATGCATTTTGAGCTATCCGTGTGTATCCGTGTGTGTGCGTGTATGTCTACGCCATTACGCTATTAAAGTCCGAGTGATTCCTCGTGTATGTACACGCCGTTAAATGTCCGAGCGAAACGAAGCAAAATGTAGATCTACATCTGGGAAGCGATATTTTTTTTCCTAGGATGGTAGGGGAAGACTCATAAATGCTATTAACCCCAGTGACAGGTAGGTTTAGGGACGGGGTTGGGGTAGGTCACATATTTATATATACAGTAATAACGTTAAGTCAACGCCGATCATAAACATGCTGAGGTAAATAATGCGTCTTCTGCTGAGTTAAATAAGCTGTCGGAGTCGCGTGTTCATGTGGTTTGGGGGCGTGGCCTTGGAAGGAGCCCAGAAGGGAGGTGGAGTGAATGGAAATAATGAGCTGTCTATAAAACAGTCGTGAGAGGTCTACAGACACTCGATTTATATGATTATACTTTCTTTTTCAGAGTACTTACATTTTAATTATGCATTGATATATAGAGAAAGTTTAAACAAATTTGGAAAAAAAAAACGTTTTTTTTTTTTATAAAATTCCTACCTACAATGCCTTTAAGTAATTACATTTGAATATTTTACTAAAACACAGATACAGGGTAGTTAAAAATTGCACTTACAGAGATAAAAAATAATAATAATAATGCGGTGACCAAGAAGGGACATGTTCAATTCACCTAGATTTGTCGTGTCCACGACATACAGAAGTAACTCTTGAGAACGTGGCCATGCGATGTGAAGTCATTAACCTTTATGTCGTGGCCATGCCATGTGAAATCATAGCCTCCTGTGTCAACCTGTGACCAAAGCAACCTGGGATTATCAGAAATTGATATTAAGAATGTTTCTTTTCTGTAAAATACATCTGGAAAAAATGGGGTCATCTTACATAATACTTCTTTATATAAATCTTAATAATAGTATAATAATATAAGAATAAATTGCTAATGCATTCAGAAAATAATTGAAAGGTTAATATAACTAGTCTGTTAGTTACAAATTAAAATAAATGGTTGACTAAAGAATAAAACTGAAGTATGCACATAATTTTTACAAAAAAAATATGACTTTATTTTCAGTGGGACACAATGCATAGTAGGACATTGAGACTGATAGTCTTGGGCACCATTAACTATCATTGAATTTTTTTTTATTTTAAATAAATTAATAATGTTTGAGATTGAATGCTCTCTCTCTCGTTTTTTTTTTTTTTTTTTTTTTTTACCCCTCACATTATAAAGAAATCTTACCTACCTTACCTTTAACATAAAGGACTGAGAAATGTAGCAGATTAATAGCTTTTCTTTATGAATTAAGTAAAGATCTTTGCTCTGGCAATGTTCAGTTATGTCCCTTTGTTATATTTGCATACATCCAATTCGGATATGCAAAATATGAAGGTGTTATTGGAGCAAAACAACTGAGCACCCTGTGACTGGTCAATTTGTAGTTGTAGAGAAAAGCCACACGTGTATCAGTAAATTTGAAGTAACACAGAAAATGGTCTTGTAGTTAGTATTTGACCCCCAGCAATGGACATATGGAACCGCGATTTGAATATGAAGTTGTTTGCATGTTTCAGGCACTGATGAAAGTTTATCATGTAAAGATGAGGCAGATGTGCTGAGACGAGGCAGATAAGAAACTTAAGAAATTGAGGAACCTGTCCAGTGGAGTAAGATCAGGGACGGAGTCATGGGTTTATATCCATTTTCCCTGTCACCAATGTCTTGGACAATGTTGATAGGGACCAAACATGGAGTGGTTCACTCAAATCTCTGTTCTGTGAGACAAATTGGGTCAATATATAGCTAAGTTTCATTTCTTTGAGTCGACTACAGTGCATATGGCCTTGATAAATGCACGCTCAGTTGTTAAAACATTTATTAATGGCTTTTATGTAACACATGGATTGGACTTTCTTTTTACTACTGAGACTTGGTGCTGATATGAGCTCTCTTGTTGAACTCTTATCCCCAGGTGTATTTTAAGTACCTTGAGGACAAGACAACTTGTCGAGGTGGAGGTTTGGCGGCAATTTTTAATAATATGATTAAGTGCAAGTTATTGCCCGTTGAAAGTTTCAAAAGTTTTGAAGTTTAATTAATGAAGATTGACCTTCCCTTAAGTGCTTTTACCCTGATGTATATGCCTCTTGATGCAACAAAAAAATGCAGGAGAAAAAAAAATTAGGAGTTATCTGTGGTTGTTCCATCTGCTCTGCTGATAGGATTTTGATTCTGGGTGATTTAATATCCATGTTTACTGTCCTTGTAAGTCTATGACCCAAGAATTTTTAGAATTTTGGTTGATTCTTTTAATTTCATCTCAGTGTGTTTTTGGACCAATACATAATCATGGTCATATGCTTGATTTTGTGTTTTCTTTGGAAATAAAGATTGAAAACATTTGGGTTGAGAGAACAGCTATTTTGGATCAGGTGTTTATTGGGTTCAATTTGACTTTAAGAAATATATTACCGACTCGATCTCATGGCAATTCGTACATATTTTAAGAGGTGGCTAATTTGTACAAATTCATACGACCTCACTCGTACACATTCGTATGATTCTTGCTAAATCGTATACATATTTTACGAGTTGCCCAATTCATATGAATCTGCACGAATTACCTACCCCTGACCCTGCCCCTAAACCTACCCATCACTAGGGGTTAGACAAATCATATAATTTTCTATTCGTAAAATGTTTTTAGAGCTGCTAGATTTTCATTTTTCTGCAAATTATACCACAAAATGTAAATAACCCAGGCATTGTTTGCAAATTGCAACCATATAAGGTACAAAGTCCATCCATCTTCTCTTCCCTGTGCAAGGATTTATTAGTTTTTTAAAAGGTTTTTGACCAAGGTTGACCTTATAAGGTTGAATATTTCGCCAGGGAACGTTGTAGTTGAAGCAATGAATCCTTCACTTGC